TTTTTTTTTTTTTAATTTTGAGACAGAGCTCTGGCTGTGCTGGACTTGCTAAGTAGACCAGGCTGGCCTCCAGAGATGCACTTGCCTCTTCCTCCTGAGTACTGGGATAAAAAGTGCATGCTATCACACTAAGCTCAGTTAGTGTATTTAAAATTTGAAACAAAGTGACTTTACTGATGAATTTCTCCACGGCCTGGAGCAACTTCATATATAGCTTCTTGGGGTTCTGAAGCACCAGGTGCTGGGCTCACCTCAGACTAAGAAGGGGCCTGTGATGTGACCATGTAAATGGCTTGTTTTCCTCAGAGTCCAGGGCTCTAAGGACTGCTTCAGTTTGATTACATTTGAGGAGAGGGAGAGGACAATGGGAACAGACACCATGGACACTCTGGAGGAGCATCCTGCAGAGCTGCTGGAATTGTGACATATGTATTTTATCCTTAAACATGTGTCGTTGGCATTCCCCCTTGCTCCCTGTGGCCCAGCGACTTAGGCAGTCACTGCTAGTGTCAATCACTCTGCCTCTCGGAGCTTCCCTCTCCTCCAGAGCAGCAGACTGAATTTCCATAGTGTGTTACCCTTTACAGTTGATGGAGCAACTTGCTATTTATTAGCACTCTTGAGCCTCATATCACTGCAAGTGAGACCTTGGGCCATTTATGCAGTATGATTTCTTTGTTGCAAAGCTTGACTCCTTGTCTGAAAGTGTACAAATTCTTGGGAGTTACTGGAGACTTTGCTATGGCCTCATTTCTGTATCTATTGAATGGTAATGAGGATCCACTTACTTTTAGGATTACCAAAGGGACAGAGTAGGTGAACACAGGTGAACTGCTCAGTGAGGTGTTTGTACATCCTCAGAGTATACAGTTAACATTCTTAAGTCATCGGCTCTTTCCAATGCCTAACTGGCTGGTGAGAAACCGCCACTCAAAAGGAGTTCAATGACTGATCACAAGAGCAAAGAGCCAAAAATGATAAGGGATGGTGTGGGGGGCCAGCCAGGATGGATTCTCTGCCTGGCAGGACTTCCGGAGAAATTCCTGGGATTGCTGTCTGAGTCTGGCCTCTGATTCACCGGGGACAGAGCACAGAGCCCAAGGCTGTTGTTGGGGAAAGGGGGGTGGACAACAGACAACACCAGACAGAACAAACTTGCAAAGAAGACTGCAGGTTATTCTTGGATCTAGACTTTTCTGATTTAAAAAGAAGAAAACGATACCAGGTTGGCAAGATGGCTCGGCTGATGAAGGTGCTCATTGGCATTGCCTGGCAACCCGAGCTCCATCATGGAGCCCACATGGTGGGAGGAGAGAACCAGTTCCTCCATGTTGATAAGTTGTCCTTTGATGTCACACTCACAGTGGTACACCCTTCATCTCAAATGTAAATAATAATAATTTATTATTATTATTATTATTATTATTGCTGGAAATCTGAAAAATATAGAAAAAAACACAGAATGAAACACACAGAAGTAACTGTACCACTCAGGCATAATTATTAGCCTTTTAACATATATCTAGTTTTTCTAGTAACTACATTTATATGTTGATGTAATCAGATAATATGATTATGTCCCAGATGAGTAAATATTCTGCTAGGATATTTTTGGTTGTGGTTTTGGGTTCTTGAGACAGGGTTTCTCTGTGTAGCCCTGGTTATCCTGGAATTCGCTCTGTAGACCAAGCTGGCCTTGAACTCACAGAGATCCACCTGCCTCTGCCTTCTGAGTGCTGGGATTAAAGGCGTGCACCACCACTGCCCAACTGATGTTTTTGTTTTTTGCTTTATGATTCTCCAATCTGACATCTTTCAGGGCCTGTGGAAGTCAAAATTTAGCCCTGAGAACACAAGGGAGGAGTCATTCTACAAGGCTGACGGGCAGTCATGCCTAGTATCTATGATGTACCAGGAAGGCAAATTCAAGTACCGGCGTGTGGCAGAAGGCACCCAGGTGCTGGAGCTGCCCTTCAAGGGGGATGACATCACCATGGTGCTCATCCTTCCCAAGCCTGAAAAGAGCCTGGACAAGGTGGAGCGGGAACTCACCCCAGAGGTGCTGCAGGAGTGGCTGGACGAGCTGACGGAGACGCTGCTTGTGGTCCATATGCCCCGTTTCCGCATTGAGGATAGCTTCAGTCTGAAGGAGCAGCTGCAAGACATGGGCCTCATTGATCTGTTCAGCCCTGAGAAGTCCCAACTCCCAGGTTGGTATAGGAGAGAACTGCCTCCTCTCTACTCCAAGATAAAGGTTTGACCAAATGTGGGAGAGTGGAGGAAAGCATAGAGAGTGTCGAGTCAGGATACCTGGGTTCTGATCCTGGCTCTGTGATAAGCTGTGGTGATCCCTTGCCCTTCTCAGCCCCCTCCAGGCCCCCTGTGCCCCCCCCCCCCATGAAAGGTTTCTAGTTTCTAGGCGTCAAGCCAGTACTGTTGTCCTATGGATCTGTTTCTAATAGAGGAGATGAAAACAGGTGGAGAAGGATCTGAAAAAGTATTGGAATTTGAAGAGACAGACATTAAAAGCAAGGCATGCTGGGACATGCCTATAATTCCAGCACTTGGGAAGTGGGGCAGAAGATAGTGTTCCAAGCCAGCCTGGGCTATTTAACAAGACCTTGTCTCAAAAGTGAAATAAAACAGGAGCTAGAGAGATGGCTTAGCAGTTAAGAGCATGGACCGTTATTGCAGAAAACACATAATCAGTTTCCAGCATCCAAGGCAGACAATACAACCTCCTGTTACTCCAGCTCCAGGGCATCTGACTCGGTAGGTGACTGTACTCATGCACGTGCGTGCACGTGCACACACACACACACACACACACACACACACACACACACACACACACACGTGTACACACATGCACGCACACACCCATGCACACACTTAGAAATAAGAAAATAAATCTTGAATAAAGTAAAATGAAATATGATAGTCAATTAAAGTTAAAAAATGGACCTTAAAACACCTTTTTCATTTTTCCCATTTTTGGTTGAGACAGGATCTTATGTAGCCCAGGTTAGGGTTAGCCTGGAACCCACTGTGCAGCTAAGACTGGCTTTGAACTGATTGTGCTGTCTCCACCCTGAGTGCTGGGATTATAGGTGTGTGCCACCATATCTGGCATTATCGTTTGCTTATCCATACACTTATTTACTGTTATATATGATGTGTATAGGGGGATGCACAAGTGCCACAGTGTGTGTGTGTGTGTGTGTGTGTGTGTGTGTGTGTGTGTGTATGTGTGTGTGTGTGTGTAGGTCAGAGGACAACTTTCAGGAGTTCAAAGCCATGTGGATCCCAGGGAGTAAACTCAGGTTGTCAGGGTTGGTGCCAAGTGCCCTTACCCTGATGAGCAGTCTCACTGGCACCCACATATCTTTGTCAAAAAGAAGCCCAGAGCTGGGCATAGTGGCACACGATTCTAACCTCAGCAGTCAAGGCTGAGGCAGGGTGACAGTTGAAGGCCAGCCCAGGCTACACAAAGAGATTCTGTCTAAAAAGAGTTCAATCAGGTAATTAGATTTATCTTTACTGGGTTACCTTTAAACTAGCTTTGAAAGCCAAACTTTTCAGAAATATTACCATTTTTGGAACATTTTTAATATATGGAAAAACATTTTTACTAGACATAGTTGGGTTTTTCTTTAAGAACAGAGTCCCATCTTTCCACCTTCCCCAAGAAGCTGACATGAGATTAAATTCACAAGATCCAGGCCAAAGAAGCCCACGTAACTCCCTGTTTGTAAGAGGTATCCACCGAGGGGGTGGAGGTTATTACTAGAGGAGGTTTAGCTTCTATTTCTTACACCACCCAAAAGGATGTCTTCATTCAGACCGATCTCGTGTGTGGCCTGAAGCCAAATCACAGCATCCCCTCCCTGTTTTTCCTTCCAGGAATTGTTGCAGAAGGCAGGAATGACCTCTATGTGTCTGATGCCTTCCACAAAGCATTTCTTGAGGTGAGTCCATCTCCCCTGACCCTCTGTCTTTTCTGCATTTTATCAGTCTGCATGAGTGTCTGGAGTTTTCTGCTGGGCTCTAGGATAGAGACAGCAGGTCTGTTAGCAGCAGGACAGAAAGAACTGTGAAGAGGCAAGCTTGCAGTTTTCCTTTAATCGTGTGCAGCGCATGGAGAAGTGTGACGCCTCTGTGTGGCATTCCAGCTTCCGCGGCTTGACCTCTCCTGCTAGAGAAGCAGAGTTAGTGAGTAGCCCAAGGCAAAGGAGCCAGCAAAGGCCACTGAGAATTCTGAGATGTTCCAAGAATATCCAAAGCATGGGGGGAAAGACTGAAACCTAATCTGGACAGAATGGGGAAAGGCATATGCTTAAATGAAGTGGGGGACAAAAGAAAGGGGGTTACTAATGAGTGTGGGTCACCTTAGTGTCCTCAGGTGTGTTCTAGGAGAGCTAGATGCCATAGATATACAGCATTTCAGGAAGCCTAGTTAGGTGGGCACATGTTGATCTTGAGAGATTAACTACCCACAATGGTGTGCTGGGATCTGAGACTCCCAGTGAGGAAAATGGCGGAGTATTACTCAGCCTGTCTTCCCCCAACTGAGGTGAGTACAGAACTGTGTTAGAGTCAAGTCGTGACACCTGTGGAAGTGCTGGTTCTCAGATGCTAAAGTGTGGATCCATAGCATTAGGTGGAGATCTTTACCCTTGGAGATCGAGGGGTGGAGCCTGACAATCTGTGTCTTTACACAGATCCTCAGGGGATTTCCACATACACTCGGGTTTGAGACCCAAAGGTGTAGGCTGTTCTTCATGGATGCTAAGACTGAGCAGGAGATGGGCCAGCATTACAGTTTACAGGACTTGAGTTTGCCAAGAAAGGTTGCAATCAGAGGGAAAGGTTCAGAGTACAGTGCCAGAGAACTAACTGTAAGATCCAAGCTCAGTGGAATCTGAGGGAAGCAGAGGATGAGACGGAAGGTCGGAGCTGGCTATATCTTATCTTCACACTACTTGGAAGTTTAGCTCGCGAATGAGCATGAAATAGATGTGGGACAGCCAAAGGGAAGGGAAAAAAACATTAGCCAGCCCCACAAAGCACAGAGATCACACACAGGTGCTTTATTAAGAGTCACGGAGAGTAGGCAGAGACAGGAGGACTGCCGTAAGTTCCAGGCCAGCCTGGTCTAAAAAGAAAGCTAAAAGCCAGCCAGGAGGGTACATAGTGAGACTGTTAAAAGAAACCAGAGTAGGTGGCTGACACTGGAGGATCATGAACAACAGACTAGCCTCAGCTACTAGAAACAGAAAAACAGCAAGATCCTACCGCAGAGGAGAGGTAAGTACCAGTAACGTTACCAAGTGTCAGACATTTTCTGAAGGCAGCTCTTCAGACGTGTCATTTAAATACCGTTGTCTCAGGTTATTACTCCAAGAAAAACATCTCATCCAGCTGAAGGACTGTCTTTTCATAAGCCTCAGGTTCTGCGTAGCTGTTTGGGGTAGATATACCCGGGATTTTTTTTTTTTTAAGCTTCAAGAGTGAATCTATTTCAAGTACAGATCTCCGATCTTAAATCCCGAATTTCTCTTAGCAGTTGGTTCAAACCAATGCTCTGTGATTGTGTTCAACCATGCTACCAGAATGTGACTTCTAGTTCAGGAATTACACTTGTGGAACTCTTGCAAGGCTTTGGATGAGCCCAGTGCATGACATCCACTGGGTGTAAGAATGAGTAGGTGTCTGGAAGGAGCCGCTTGTGTGGAGAGCATCAGTGCGGGGAGCTGCAGGCTGTGTGTGTGTGTGTGTGTGTGTGTGTGTGTGATTTACAGGCCTGTGATGGACTGTGGGTAGCTAATGCTTGTTTCCTGTGTGACCCGCAGGTGAATGAGGAGGGCAGCGAGGCAGCAGCGAGCACTGCTGTCGTGATTGCTGGCCGTTCACTGAACCCCAACAGGGTGACCTTCAAGGCCAACAGGCCCTTCCTGGTTCTCATAAGGGAAGTTGCTCTGAATACCATTATATTCATGGGGAGAGTGGCTAATCCTTGTACGGGGGAACTAAAACGTTCTTAATCTTTGCACCTTTCCCCATTCTGGTGTTTGTCATAGAAGTAAAAATAAACACGACTGCCTCCTCACAAGAATGGACTTTTCCACTTGAAGACAAGAGACTGAGGCACAGACAAGATGCTGTTGGGGCATCTGGTAAAATGACCTCCAATTCTTCTCTACCCAGTAACAACTGGGAAGAGTCCAGCCATGGCGGCACACACCTAGATCCTAGTACTTTGGAAGACAGAAGCAGGAGGATTAGGAATTGAGGCCAGTTGAGGCTGGGCTGCAAAGTGAGAGACCCTGTCTCAAGATGACTTCCCTCTCCCCCCAAAGTAGAAAAGAAAACCATAAAAAAAAAAAAAGAGGTAAATATGTTACTATTTCATCTTGGAGGATAGCAGGCATCTTGAAAGGGTAGAGGGCCCTTACATTCTCAGTATTCCTACCATACTACAAAACTCCAAAAGAGTATAAACAAATTAAATAATCTTTATATAGAAAAGACAGAGACTCAAATGAGTATTAAACCTTTTATTTCTCAAACCACTCACATGCATAATGTTCTTATACACAGTGTCAAAATAAAGAGGAAATGCATTTTTATACAAACAGAATTTCAAGTATACATTAATAGACTTTTCAGATTACTAACCAAGTTGCTAAGGTTTCATTCACATTGTTCTTAAAGCTGTTCAACAAGAAAGCTTTTGCTAACTGCTTTAAATATGTTTATATAAACCCACATCTGAACTCTTCTTCGAGTTCCCCTCCCCTGACCCTCCTGCCCTCCCCCCTCCCCGACACAACAGGGCTCTAGGAGACATGCTATCCCTCCAAGAACGATTGGCTTTTCACCAGGGGAAGACAGAGTCAGTCGACAGGAGGAGAGTCTGAGGACACCTGTCAAATTAAGGGGAATGAACCCGGTCCTTAGATGTGATACACTTCTGAATGATGTTCTAGTGCTCTTGTAGTTTTACTTGATTTTTAATCAAAAAAGAAAGAAAAAAAAAGCTTATCACAAAACAACACAGATTTTTTTTTTAATTTGGTAGCTAAAAAGTAATTCAATAAAAATAAAATTTCCCCCAGGAAAAATTCCAAAATCAGGGTAGGTATTCTGAACTCCTTTGTTTAGTGGTTCTTTGCCCCTTTGGCAAGGAGTGCTTGGGGGCAGCTTAAATAGGTGGTAATTCGTGTTCACATTAAGATACTGGACAGCAGTTGCCTAGCATGTGGAAGGCAGGCCCTGGCTCAATCCCCAGCACTAGGGGGTAGGGCAGAGATTTGGTTCAATCTTACAGGGTCTGGCAAGTTTCCCTCTTCAGCTCTCCTCCTGAGTTCTGGCTTCAGGCCCACGACAGCCACACTCCTTAGGAATTAAAGTGCATATTTTGTCTTCTCAGTAAAGGGGAAGGGTTTACACTTAAGTGATGACTGAAGGAGGGCCGGGGAGAGAAAATCCTACTCCTACATATAGATCCTTATAATCAAGGTCACAACAAAAACAAAAGTCTTAGGAGGTAAGATGCACACAGCCAGCCCGGCGCTCTCAGCGGTGTGGAAGCTTCCTGGGGGCACTCTTTTTTGAGGCATCTTTACCATTAACGGAGTAATTGTTACAGATGAAAGACACAAACCTCAAATGTTAAGACTTTTCTCATAGGGAGAAAACAGACTGCTAAGTTCTTATAGTTAAAAATACTCTACCCCGTTCCCGTGCAGGACTAAACGTTTTAGAAAGTGATTGTCTGTTTCAGTACAAATTCTCCTTGATGAACAGCTATGGAAACCGTCTAGGTGAGTCTGCTGCTTACAAACGCTACTGTGTCAGCTTCAGAAACAGGACGAGACCACAGTTTGATTCTTGCTGTCACTCAGTAGCAGCTGAAATGAAATCTTTCTGTGATTTCTTATTGTGACAGCTCTAACCCAAATCTACTTTTCTGGTTTCTTGTAAATGTTTTACTGTTTCTTGGCAAGAAAACCCTGGAAATTCTCCAAGAGAAGTTAATGCTACATTATAAGCTGCATGAAGAAGTAATGGGCTCAAGAAGAGGGATCTTGTCCTGGATTCTGCCTCTGAGTCCAGTGTGATCTACTTTTCACAGTGACCAGTGGGAAGGCACAGTGCCAGGGACAGGTAGATGGGAGACAGCTGTCACCCGTTAAATAAGCACCATAGAGGAGAGTTAGAGTTCCTTCAGAATAGGTCCACTGAAGGAATCAGATTTCTGCCTCACTGACTTTCCTCTTTCAACCCTCAGCCTTTCAGAGGCAGTGCCTGAGCGGGCCCCATCCTAAAAGACAGAAACCCGGAAATCTAAGTGCTCTGCCAATGTGCTTTTCCCTCACGTAGGTAGGCAACAAGCCCAAGTCTGGAGTGCTGTTCTTAAGATGTCTTAAAGGGAAAGGAAGCCACTGGGCCCTGAGTAATCAATCCATTAGAACACAAAACAATGCAACAGGCTGAAGCTGTGAAGAGACCACAGTAGTTGAACAGCTAACGGACTCTGAGAGCACACTTGCTTTTGGTAATGACTTTTGCCAGATGGAGCAAGGTCACACTGGGATCAGGCCAGCAGTTGCTTAGCTGTTTCAGAAAGGATTTGGATCTGGAACTATATAGTTCAGTGGCAGAATGCTTGCCCAGCATGCTCCAGATTCTTGGGTTCAATACCCAGTACTAAAAGAAAAAGAAAGAAAGAGAGAGAGAGAGAGACAGAGAGAGAGAGAGAGCGAGAGCGAGCGCAAGGGAGGCAGAATGAATGAGTGGATGAGCAAGACAAGGCATCAGGGCAGAAGATGATCTGACTTCACAGTTGTGGTAGAAATTTCTTTTATCCCTTGCTCAAAATACCAAAAGCTGACACATTTACCTTTTACTAACACTTCCCCACTTTTTTGTCTCTTCCAAATCTTAAAGAGCAGTGTGGTATCATCTGCATAAAGTTCTTTTCTCTAGCATGGCAGCCTGAGGGTTTTCAACAGGAACTGCTTTCCTCTCCCACTCACTATCAGCAGGTGTTCGGCGAGCTTCCTAAGGCTAGGGAGCCAGTTGGCTCTCTGACCTGCAGCATTTACAGCCAATCAACACCAAGGCCTTAATGCTGCTCAGAACACATGTCCATATTCTGATGCTACTTAGTCCTCTGCTCTCATCAACTTTTCCCTTAGTCCATCTTTTCTTCCACAATCTATTTCTGAAATCCACATTATCAATGACTTATGGGCAATATATGAAGGGACTTTTCTATATGTCCAGGATACTCGAGAGTCTGCTACACTCAACTTGCTCTTGAAGCACACATTTCTTCCAGCAGCTAGAAGCTGCTTAGGAGCTGCTTTGAAAAGTGGTTTTCTATTATCATGTGGAAGGTTGCCACAGGCAGGTAATAAACTGTCATGGCTATTATGCATCTCTTCTACTAAGGGTAAGAATGGAAGCTATGGAATCTTATTCGGGAATTATTGGTTTAGGTCTTTTTAACATCCTAAAACAAAGATGTTAAAATTTCACATACTAGTCAGAATATTTAAGCCTTGGATAGTTATTTCATTCAGAAAGAAACAGCTAAGAAAAAGCAAGAGTCACTTGACAAAGAAATCCTACTAGGCTAAGGGACAAATAATCAGAAGTGTTATAATCACCCAAGGCAGGATTATTCTTTCCTCTATAAAGTAGCAACACTGCTTGCTTGATTTACAAAGAAAAGTAGCTGTAGACAGCTTGGGCTTGGTTCTGCATTTTTACAGTACACTGAAGTACTGTTCTACTTTCCCTATGAACTGAACAATCTTCACTTAAATCACACGTGCAGAGGAAAAGGACTCTAGAGAACAGGCCTTGAAAACTGCTTTCATTTACTTACGCACACCCTGTATTTGTAACAGAGGATACTGGATTGATTGTAACATTTCCCTCCAGACCTACTCTGAGAAGAAACAGATGAGTCTGAGCTCTGGCTCATTGTCAGCTTTAAGCCAAGAGCCATGCCTGGGATAGCAGCAAAGGTACCTGGGTCAAGAAATCTAGCTTTAGGCATTTCTCTCCTGGAGTCCCTTCCACTCCAAGGAATTCTTTCTCTTTTCAATCTGCAACTACAAACCCACCTTCATTTTGCTTGAGGAGTTGGGGAAAGAAATAATACTAGCTTCAGGTTTTCCTGCCCAAGAGTACGAATGACTACCCACAGAGTGATTTCCAACCCTGGCTGCACATCGGAATCGTCTGGGCATGTTGTCGTCCAGGGAAGTGAACCCAGGGTCTTGTGCATGCTAAGGAGGAGCTTTCCACCAAAGCCACACTGCACTCCCGCTCCATTCCTAGGGATCTTTCTAAGCCCAGATTGCACAACAGACCAGTCAACCTGGTCTGATTTTAAATAGACAACATAAAGTCAATGCTCATTCAAGCCAGAGGAAGAGGGTAAGAATCTGTTTCCTTCTAGATTCATGAATTTAATTAACCTGGGCACTTCTTTACTCTTTTTTTTTTTTCTTTCCAAATAGATCAGTCTGGCCAAAAAGGCAACAACACTGACAATAAAGTATTATTGAGACTTAATTAAGCATCTGTTTTAAAGTACAGTTTATAGTCAGACATTGAGGGCAGGCCTAGGACAAGACTGGGCACAAACAGCAAGCTACAGGAAGATACTTTCCTAAGCACAATTTAATTCCCAAGTCTGAAATACTAGCACGGCTAAAAGACTGAGAACCACTCTATGGTTTAGCAAGGAAACAGCCCATCTTTCTCCCTGGAGGACCTCATATGGATTTATTCACAAACTGCTCAGTCACTTACATGGAATGCTTCTCTTTCTATTGGGAATTTCACATTACCTAATGTCACAAGAAAAGAAAACAGTACCCAGAAAAACAGTGGCAACCCTAGAGATCTGAAAATAGATAATTTGCTAGTTTTCATTTCTAACCAGAGAATTCCTGTTTTTAGACATTATAACCCAGACAGAGCATTCGAATGAAAAGGTGGAAAGCTTCCCAAGATAGCTGTTAGAGCCAATAGTTACTCCTCAGCAGTAACAAATGGTTAAAAGGTAGGTAAGCCAACTTGGCTACAGAACTACTACCTCAAGGAGAAATCAGTTCTAATCAGGTGGCATTTTCCTGTTGAAATGAACTTTTCTGCCATGTAGAAATCCAAATCCTGACTATTACAACAGTAATTGGCATTTAAAAAAACATATCTCTCTTTGGAATAATCAAAAGCAAAACAGATCTTCCAAAAAATCCTTATCATGTACACCCATGTAAGATATTGGTAGCAGGATCATTATCAGGAAAATGTAGTTAATATTCCAGTACCCACAAAATGAACTGGGGAGATGGGTGGTGGTAGCGCATGCCTTTAATCCTAGCACTCGGGAGGCAGAGCCAGGCAGCTCTCTGTGAGTTCGAGGCCAGCCTGATCTACAGAGCGAGATCCAGGACAGACACCAAAACTACACAGAGAAACCCTGTCCTGAAAAACCAAAAAAAAAAAAAAAAAAAAAAAAAAAAAAAAAAAGAAAGAAAGAAAGAAAAAAAAGAACTGGGACTGGCAATGGAAGAACAGTGATGTTTCACATCATTTAGAGGAGTTGGGACATCTTTAAGAACAAACACAAAGAGTGGGTATGGTGACACATGCTGGAAGTGGCAGCACTCAAGAGGCCAAGGCAGGAACAGTAAGAGTTCAAGGCCAGCCTGAGCTACAAAGCAAGGCCTGGGGTTCTGTCCTTGGGAACATCACAAGCAAACAGCAAAAACAGAGAGTGAGTCAGGAGGATGGAGAGTTTGAGGCTCATCTGGGTAACAGTAAAACTCTGCACATGTGCAGCACACACAGAAGAGCAAAACCAAGAAAGCCTCTCTCTACCTGCACTAGACACTTCTACCAGACAGATCAAACATTAACATCTGCATGGTAACCTCTGTATTTTGAGTCTAGCTTTCCTCTGCTTGCTATAGAAAGCTACACCCTACTTTTTCAGGCAAATGCTCAGAGGTAGAGGAGCTGAAATGTATATAGAAAAGGATGGGGGTAGAGAGGCTAAGGAATCAGGCTCATGGCCAAGGGCTACAGGACAATCTTGACTATGCTCAGTATTTAGCGGGAGGTAGGATAGTTTACATTGACTTATCTGCCTTCATTAAACATCTTTTCCTTACATACACATAATTTGCACACATATACCTGACAACTCAGCGATATATTGCAATTCACAGCGACAGTATGTTTATCCCAACAACTACTTTCAGGATGTATTCTGTGTACTGATCCCTAACCCTTCTCAGGTAGCTATAAGCATATTTTCTCTTTCGAGGGCTTTAAGCATATATATCACTTTAATACCTACATCTGCCAGCTCTAAAAAAAGCAGCTGTACTGTTAGATGTGTTATAACATCTTTATAAACAGAAAGTGCAAGAAATTTTTTTTCAGCCCCAATACAAAGTTAACTAAAGCTCTCATAGCCTACTATGCCAAGAATTTAATTTTTAGTACAACACAACTAATGAAATGCTTCTATGCTACCAAGATCATGGTGGTGAGTAAATAGATTTATAAACATACATTTATGAAAATGACATTAAGAAAATAGCTAAACTTTCCATAAAAGTTATTTGCATGAACTATCTTTAGTATACCATTCTGTGTTTAACGCACATGCATATACAATTGAATTCTTTAGTGATATTTTTATTGAGCCATTTTTCCAAAAAGAAAACGGGCTCATTAAAAAACAACAACAAAACTCATTACCGGACTTAAAGTCATTTTTGTAAAAATACTAGAAACTCCATATAAATTCTAAGTATGTCTGCCATCTGATAGCATTTCAGAGGGTACTTTCAGCACACTTTTAGTGACCTATTTAGTAATTTGGCTTCCAGAGGAAACACATTTAAGCTTTGTTTCCTGCATAGCATCTCTGGTTTTGAGTGGTTCTTAACCACTACAGTTGGGTTTCTCTGACTTATAGGAAACAGACCGTTCTCAAATATCATCAGCATCTGCTTCAAGAGGAGGCTAAGGGTAGAACTCTAACCTTCAGGTAGCGTCTACTCACTCGGGCTGTCACGACTGGCTGAAACCGTTTAGATTTGTGACGCTGAAAGGAAAGGAAAGATTGTCAATCTATAGGATTCTCTCTTCTCATCCTGTTCTCTTTTTCTACGCAAACAACCAATGACTCCAGACTTGAGACCACAGAATTCCAGAGAAGTTCCCAATGAGCCAAAAAACAACATTCGAGTTGAAACACAGGTTATCACAGCAAAACTGTCATTTCCTGGGACTGTAATTTCAAAGTTTCTCTGTCAAGAAGGGAAGAGTTTGCTGGGCACGCCTTTAATCCCAGCACTAGGGAGGCAGAGGCAGGTGGAGCTCTGTGAGTTCAAGGCCAGCTTGGTCTACACAAAGAAAAACCCTGTCTCAAAATATCAAAAAAAAAAAAAAAAAAGGGGGGGGGGGGGGGGGGGAGGAAGAGAGAGTATATCATGGTGGAAATGAGTATTTAAAAAAAGTTTTAAATTAAATTCTATTCTTTTTATTCACTACAAACTTCCCCCAATCTTTACATGATAAAAATCTAATTCATCTCCACTGTACCTTTGGATATCTATCCACGCTGTAAGTGCCTGGCTCCTAGTACCCCTCATTTCCCTAGGCAGAGATCATTACACTGCATAAGAACTAGGGATGATGAGTCAGAAGCCTTTACAGCTACTTCTCTGGGAATCTACTGACGTGGTATCTCAGACCTTTCTTCTCTTGGAAGGGTATTGATCTGGGGAAAATTAGTACAGTTCTTTCTCTGTTATCTTCTCAATGGAGGACTATTTAAGTTTTTTAGTCTAATTATTTTAAGGAGTTTAAATAAAGCATTATAAAACTGGCAACTCCAGCCTCAAAAAACTTCAATGATCTATGACTGAATGAGAGAGGCTGGTATACTTCCTAAGAGACTAATGATACACAAAATTGATTTTCCTGTAAGAAAAGCAGTAAGAATGGTATCAGCCAATTCATCTTTAAGCACGAAATTATATGACAGAAGTGGTAAAGAGAGATGAGATGAGATGTTTACTATCATAAGCTGGAGGTGTAGCTCAGTGGTTAGAGCACTTCCCTGCCATTGTAAAACCTCAGCACAAGAACTTCTTATGGTCTCAATAATATGATATGAAGTCACACAACAGAAATTCCTGAAAATGATTTAGCAGCCATATCATGGGAGTTTTCCACCTATTTATAAACTTACAGCTGTCTCCAAGAAGTCAGAATTGTAAACAGTAAGCTTCTCATTTCCTCGAGAGCATTTCTGGCTCAGGCTGTGTAGATATCATGGTCTCACAGTACAGCCGAAGCTCGGAACCTGGACCCAAGTACAGAGAAGAAAAGGAATGGCTGCTGCTTTCAAACAGGCACAACTTGAGGGAAGGCAGGCAACTAATAAAACAGCCTCAAGTATTTGTCTAATTCTCCTTCTAGATCTTTGACTGTCCCACAGTAGATGTAATAATGGCTTAAACAACACTAATAACTGACCACAAAAAGCTCAGGGAAAAAAATTGAGAACCTAATGTTACCTGTAAACAATTAAACATGGTCTCAGATCTCTTCATGTTTTTCATAAAGTGTTAGGGTATTTCCTCTTCCCTAGATCTGGGCTCACCACTGACTAAAGTATGGCAGTGAACCCATGATGACTGTAGGCCTGGCCTTTAAGAAGACCAGATTGTTTGCCCAGCTTTTAGTAGCCTGAGTTGCATATTAAGAAGCCCAACTACCTGCCAGCCAGTGGTGGTTCATGCCTTTAATACCAGTACTTGGAAGGCTGAAACAGGTATATCGCTGAGTTTGAGCCCAGCCTGGTCTACAGAGCTAGTTCTAGGGCTATACAGAGAAACCCTGTCTCGAAACCCTGCCACCCTCATCCCCCCTCCCCCGAAAGTCCTTCAATGGAAAGATTAAACCAGCTTTTCAGGTCTCCCTACACTAGGCATGCATGTAATCTTGGACCTTCTAGACCAGTTCAACCAACTGCCCCTTCCTTAACTTCTAACTTTTTGCAAAGTAAGATTTATAAAATGGTTGTTAAGCCACTTTAGAGTTAAACTTTAGGGTACTTTGTTACACAGCAATAGATAACCAGAAAACATTTCACTTTTCAATAGTAACTCACTCAACTTAAAATCAGACATACCAAAGGGGCAATTCTCCTTAAGTGGGCGATGTTCCTACTCAAGTCTGCATGAGACCAACTGCACGACCCTTTGAAGAAATCTGCTAGTAACTTACTCTTGGGTTACAGTTGTGACCTGTCATGTAGGTGCTAAGGAAACAAAATCTAGGTCCTCAGGAAGAAGAGCCAGTGCTCTTAACCACTGAGCCTTAACCATCTCTCCAGCCTCTACTCTTTATTGCAAGTTCAGTAAGAGTAGGAAGAGCATTAGCCACTGCACAGAAAATAAATGTGACAGAGTGGAGGTAGTCTGGACTTTGGAACTGGACTGGTAAATACGAGCTGTTATGTACCCTTGGGCTCAGCAGTGTCCTTATCTATAACATGTGCCATAATTATACTCACTAAAGGCACTAGAAGCTATCCAGAGAATCTGGTGGTAGGCTGCCTATGTAAAGACAAAGGTTGTCCTTCTCTCTAAAATGAAGGAAACAATAACCACAACAGACTGACATGAGGAGCAGATAAATTAATAGAACTGTGTCTGGCACATAAACACTAAAAAAAAAGTGGGCTGTTTTTATTATTACTTTTATCACCTCAGGATTATTTCAATATGATTGCAGTTATGCTAGTAGGGGAGACAGTTCAGTGCTCCTTTAGAACGTCTCTCTATTAAAAAGTGCAAGCTCTCTAAAAATCATGTCTCAGACTCCCAGGAAGTAGGTTTGGGACTCTCAAGAATGGGAAGCCATGCTGGGCACAGTGGAGCACACCTTTAATCTCAACACTCAGGAGGCAGAGGCAGCAGATCTCTATGAGTTCAAGGCCAGCCTGCTATATGTAGTGAGTTCTAGGCCAGCCAGGGCTATCTAGGGAGACCCTGTCTCTCTCTCAAAAAACAAACAACCCCCCAAAAATCCAAAAACAAAGCAAAACCCCCCAAAAGAAAAGAAAGCCACAACTAACTAAAGCTGGTTGTGTTTTACAAATTCCAACCACATTGTCTGGTACCAAAAGGTATTTAACATTTATTTAATGGACATAGTTTCCTATATATTACCTACCAGTGAAGATAAGTAATTGCATGTTTCCATGAGCTAATTTAACTTCTGGCATTATAGTATAATTCACATCCTAAGATGCATGGCATTAACTTATGGTGTTGGTCACATGAGATGCTCAAACTAAGACTACCTTAACTGGGTGGTGCACTTGAGAGTCCCTCCACAGGGCCTACTGAGCAGACACAGATAACAAGCATTAGAAAAGCCCCTGTCCCCACCCCATGCTCTGCCTTTGTAAGTTAGCTTTGCTATTTAAAGCTTCCACTATTTGAGCTACTGGAGTTCTTTTAACTGCGTTAAGAAGTGTTTCTGATATATAAGGGGAAGGATATGAGATTAGAAATTATTTATAAAAGTTATTTTTGTAGCCTCTGTAAAGATAATGTGGATTTCAGGTAATTATGTGTCTTTCTAGCATTGCTGTGTGTCATTTGAGAAAAGATGATCTTCTAACACACTAGAAATGGATGATCTGTACAGACTTCTCTAAGGGCTTGAGGTCACTGTCCCTAGCAATAATTACTTTCTTTGTAATGCAACAAGCTCAGGTGTTCTAACATACTCACACTATTTAACTTTGGCCTGTCCTGAGGAAGAAAGCCCACTTACTATCTAAGTAAAAATACCAGCCTGCCTGGGCGGTGGTGGCGCATGCCTTTAATCCCAGCACTCGGGAGGCAGAGCCAGGTGGATCTCTGTGAGTTCGAGGCCAGCCTGGGCTACCAAGTGAGCTCCGGGAAAGGCTCAAAGCTACGCAGAGAAACCCTGTCTCGAAAAACAAAAACAAAAACAACAACAAAAAAAGTCCTGGTCTGAAAACCAGGAAAAACACTAGAAAGCAGAGAAGCAAAACCACTGAGAATTAGTCATGATGCTTGGCAAACTCCAATGCTTTCAATCAATTCCTACTTAAATGACATCTATTAGCAAGACCTCAAACACAGCATAGCTGGATGATTCAGTTATCTGCAGCCAAGTTCTCTCTCAAGTAGCACGGCCCAGATCAATAGAAAGCCCATATGACTATGTGTAATGTGCTCTGAGACAAGTAGATTTAACTTAGATGAACATCCTGAAACTTCACAATGAGGATTATCTATTCTTCAGAGGCTATGTCACATAAACCCCAGCAATATCTTACTAGAAGGCAGCTTTAAGAACAAAGAGATGGTCAGCTGAGGTGACAAACGCCTTTAGTCCCAGCACTTCGGAGGCAGAGGCAGAGAGATCTCTGTGAGTTTCAGGCCTGTCTGACCTACACAGGGAGTTCTAGGCCAGCTAGAGTTACATAGTGAGACCCTGTCACAAAACAAAACTAAACCAAACCAAAAGAACCAAAGACATGTCTTACATGGACTAGTGACTCATCCCACCTTTCTCTATGACGATAGGATTTATAACAACAAATCAAACTAACTGTACTGCATTAGCATAACCTAGAAAACTGTCCAAATGAAACTCTGAAGCCTGTGTATTATTTCCAAATGGAGAGAAATCATATCTTCTCTTGCAAGGATTTCTATGAATACATTTAACATTTCACATTTCTCCACATCTTATGTAACACTAAGATTGAATGTTCACAAAACAAATATATACTGGTCCAACATGTTAACAATAATAGATATGCAAGAATGGGCCTAAGAAAAAATTGAAATCCTGATGTTTTACTGTTTCAAAACATCCAAAAGAAAAAGATTGGACATTTTTTAGTCCAAATGCGGATAGAGTGAATTTATTTAAGATTAAAATGAAGGGAAAAGTATGGGTGTCTAATCTAGAAAAACAGTATATCTGATAAGAATCAAAATGCCTGTTTTGTTTCTTTGAGACAGAGTCTCATGTAGCCTTGGCTACCCTCAAACTCTATGTAGCCAAGGATAACTCTGAACTCCTGATCCTTACCTTCACCTTCCTTCCTAAGTGCTGGGATACAGGCAAGAGTCACCACAACCAGTAATAACTATACATAACAGAAATTACTCTTTAATTCTAGGGAGATTAAATTCATTTGTCATTATTATACAAATCATTTTAAGCAAGATGAGAAATGACAAAACTTACAAAAGCATGAACTTTTGAACTCCACATTGTTAAAAGTGTGGGAATTTTTCTTATAAGAGGTATCTTGTTACAATTACTATTCTAAACTTAAATCTTTGGGCAAGGGCAAAACATAATCCTGTTTCCTTTTGGCTTATTACTCATTTTAACTGCCCCTTTTGGAATGGGAATGAAGCAGAAGAAAAGCCAAGAGGTTTATGTGGAGGTGGAAAAAGATGACGCAACTCTTCTCAAAGTATCTAATGCAGATGTGACTCGGAATTTAAAGCCTCTGTCACACTATGCTAAAGGTGAAATGGTAGGAGTAGTTGTTTGGAGTTAACTTCTGAAGTAAGGCAGAAGATGCCAACCTTTTGACACCTTCAGACACAGTGTTTTTAGGCCCTGCTGGCTATGTACTCAACTTTATCATTACAGTACAAAGAAACAGTAAATAATAACCAAGCAAACAGATGTTAGGGTATAAGTGTCTTCATATAGACAGCAGGCAAATATTCATATTTGACTTCAGGGCCATGGTTTGCTGAACCCTGATCTAACTCATAAGCTCTAGGGTCTGCTTTGCTGAGGGCTTCTCTCAAAGTCAGTGATTTAACCTGGCAATAGCTTGCTGTTCCTTTCCTAACTCAGCTATGAGAATATTTTAGTATTTTAAGTTCTTTTCCACTGTGGTCCTATGTAAAAAGCTCCATTTCCAAAGACTGCTCAATAATGACTCATCCAATATTCCTTGAATAAATAAGTGTACAAATAAGGAAAAGGGCATATTTGGAAGTGAAAAATAAATTATATCTGCTTATGGATAGGATTTCAAATCTTTCTGATTAAGAGCTTTTCTACTACATTAAGAAGTCTTCCCTTGCCAGGCAGTGATGGTGAACACCTTTAGCCCCAGAAGAGGCAGGCGGATCTCTGAATTCCAGGCCAGCCTGGTTTTCAGAGTGAGTTCTAGGACAGCCAGGACTACACTGAGAAACCCTGTCTCAAAAACTAAAAAGAAGAGAGAGGAAAACAAAACAAAACAAAGTCTTTCCTTTTCCATTTTCTACTGTTTCTATTCTTTAAAGTAGACCTCCGTGTTAAACAAAAAGTAATTACACCAGTTAAAATAAACAACTAGTGTGAGTTGGTAGTAAGACTGTGTAAAAGCTAATTCTTGGACAAAGGACTACTCAGCTATTGGAAACGAAGTTCCAAACATCACTCTTGCACCAGACAATTCCAACCAAAGCTGTATTTCCACTATGAAGAAGCCCGGACAGTCTCTGTTTACTCTCATACCATCTTTGTTTCACTGATATCAAGGGAACTGGAAACCGAAAGAACGCAAAAATACAAGAAAACTTTTCTTAACTGCTTTCTTTCTTCTTTGTCTTTTACAAACTATTTCAGTTTTATGTGGTCAAGATGAGATTTAGTTCTTTAGTAGAAAAAAAAAAGGAATGAGGGCCAGATGTGGTGGAATATGCTTGTAATCTTCAGTACTTATGAGGCTGAGGCAGAAGGATTCCTATGAGTTCAAGGCCCCGCTGAGCTATAGAGTGAAAACCAGGACAGCAAGGGGCTACATAGCAAAGACTCTGCCTCAAATACCAAAAACAAAGCAAAACCCCCCCCAAACTATGGAATTGCTTGGAATTTACATAAAATAAAATTCAACTCAGTTTAGAGGTAATTATGGTTCTGAGTAAAAAGAGAATTCATTAGGAAGAGCCTTTCTGAGTAAATACAGTGTACTGCCATGTTAATGCCACAGTTTATATCAGTATCAGAATTCAGAGAGAATAAGTCTATTTAGAGTGAAAATAGATACACACATGTGGTCAACTCTCTGCTTTCTATGACAATATTGGATAGCCCCTCTGCTAAGTGCCTCTCAATCATAATAGTCCTGATACTGCAATTTCACGGCATTAGGTTATCTACTGATTTAGCTCTCACTGCTAATGCAGTTCCCCTTACAAGGTGACGTGTGCAAGTCAAGATTTGGTAGTAAGTTTCAGCATCAGCTAAAGTTCATTTAGTACACCCTTAATGAGCATACTCCTTGTACACACCGTATTCATTAACATAGATAGTACACTACTAACCCTTATGACCCTACAGTGATGCTAGCAAAGAAGTAGGACAATGTCACAGTGAATCTGGATAAGAATCCTGGATATTTAGAATGGTATCACTTCTAACTAAAGCAGATGATTATTTTTGAAAACTTTGTTTCAAAGGTAGCCTGGCTAGAAGTCTCATGACTTTCATGGCTCTGGCTAGGCCAATTAGAGGAGAGACCAGCAGAGAAGATTGTGCTGATGTGGTCCTAGGACCGGAAGCACTCTATTCACAGTATCAATACAGTAAAAAACCTATTAGAAATGAGTGAAAACAGAGGGGGACCCCCCAAACATGCCTAACACCTCCACATGAATACAGCAACCTCTACCCCATTCAAGATGTTGGTGGCTGACCTTGGATGGAGTGCTGATAAGTGCTCTGAAGTTTCTCTTTATAGAAATTACTGCACTTGAACTTTATAATTTGGTAATAGTTAAAAGCTCTATTTTCTCACATATAACCTAAAAAGCTAACAATGCAAAAAACAACTTTTCAGCATACAACTTAACTTTTTGAAAGTAGGGTAGACTTAAAATATTTTTGGCTGGTTTAAAAAAAAACATCCATCTAAAGCAGCATCTTCTGTACTTCCCAGCTACCCGCCTGTTCAGTAATGACCATGTCTGTCCACTGAAAGCCTCTACTATAGCTAAAATGTTTTCTGAGAACATCAACTCTGTTTTTATGCCACAGAGCACAGTGATCTCTAAGGTGGCTCTAGGAGACAGTTTTCACTCTATCATGCTGTTGCCTATGATTATCAGAGATAAGGGACTACTCTCCAGTGCTGCTTTTAAGGGCAGGCTCTTCAACTGGAGCACCAGAAGACTCCTTTAAAAGACGAATTTCTATACTTTGTCAGAAGAGAAAACCTTTCTCTAGTGATACAGTATATACAATTCTCAGATTGTTTAAAGCTACCCTTTGCATTCCAGTTTCTTACCATCAAAAATGTACTTTTCCCACCTTTCCATACCACAAGGTGCTCACAAGGAAGGAGCACAAACTTCACATTCTCATAAATGGCTCACTAGTGCAGGCAGGACCAGTCCCTCTCCCAAATCTCTTAGCATTGTCCACATCCCTGTACCAAAACAATTACTTAAACCAGTACACATTTAAATAGTCTTTAAAAATCACTTGAGAAGCTAAAGACTTCTATTTGCACTGTAGACTTCAGGCATCTTTTTGCCTGTATTAACATTCCTACTCCTCTTTCTGCATTTAAGACAGGGCATATAAAGCTCTATGTGTTTGGTAAATTCTTTCAGAGCTGGATTAAGAATCTCAGAAAAACTCAAAATCACTAAGAAAGTCCCTTGAAGTTTTACAAAATCTTAGGAATGATTGTGTAACCATACCTGATAAAAATTGATCCCTTGATCATTTATTGCAACATGATTGTGCAAGATAGTTTCTTGTAAGTGAAGTGCCCTGTAGTGTACAATTAAAAAAAAAAAAAAAAAAAAAGCTCTCCAAGTCACCAGCAATTTGCTAATTGGTTGATGAACTATATAGATTTGCACAACCAAGACATAGATTTAAGTGAAGTTCTTCACTAGACTAAAAATATAAAGTACAAAACATGTAGAAGGAAATGAAACTGTGGTGCAATAAGAACAACAATGTTGAATCTCTCTTCAACTACAATATTGCAGAAAAAAACCTGTTTAAAAACTTCATATAAAAGTTATCAAATGTGGAGACCTGTGGATTTAAAAATACAATCCAGGCTCATTTCACTGGAAAATGACATTTTTGATGCACAGTATTGCTGTTATATGAAACTAGGAGCCCAAGAGGATGAAATTTTGGTAGTCAGCCTAACAGGATAACTCACATAACCAGAAACATTTTTGTAACAACCATGGATGTATCCAAGTGTCAGAGCTTACAAACACCAATCAGAAAACTGCAACTCAGCTCTGTGCTGTCTAGTATTTGCAAAGCATAAACACTTCCTTCCCTGCTTCTCCTTCTCAAGCTCCGAGACATAGAAGTGCCTACTGGAAATGCTCGGCTGCTCACTTTACTTCTACCTGCCTAACATGCTTCAGGTGATACTGCTCACTAGAATACTGCTCCAAGGTAGCTGATCACATGAAACAACCAGGCAAAGTATTAGATGCCTTCTCAGGGCAAAGACAAGACAGCTTAACCTTTTAGAATAATAAGAATCACCAACATTCTTTTTTTTTTTTTTCTTAAAATATGGAAATGCATGCTCTGGCAGGGAAGAGGCAGGAAAGACTCCCCTTTCTCACTGTTGTGACTACCTTTCCCACTTCTGATAGGCTGCTTCAGTTGGCCAAAGCTCCTGTTGCTTTTTTTTTTTTTTTAGATCTAGGATTTCACCCACCAAGATGATATGGACCTAAGTACAGTGTTCAATCATGACTGGTAGATAAATGACCATTCACTGATCAGTTTTGTTAAAAACATTGTTTTCTTATAAAGTTAACAAACCAAGGCTGTTGATCCCTGAATTAGAAGCTGATTTGCTTGATTATTTTCCAAAGTGTGAGGTGGGAAAGAGGAGAAAAGCCTTAATGCTTTCTGCACATGGATCCTCTAATTTGGCAACACCATGGGAACATCTTCTAGTCGAGCGAGGTGGCATTTTGTGAATCTAAGTACCAGCCCCTGGTCCTGATATGGGCTGGTTACGATCCAAAGGGGAGGAGGGTCTGCCCCCTCCCCCTCA